CGAGCATCCGGCAGCCTCAGCTACAAGGAAAGTAGATATTGATCCAGGGTCTACAAACGTATGCCAGCGTCCACCAACGACCAGCAGGGTTTTGAAGGCTAGCGAAGTTAGGTATCGACCTAGCGACCAGCAGCGTCCATCAGCTTCCACCAGCGACCAGCAGCATCCGGAAGGAAAGTGTAGGCTGACAGGACCGTACCAGACAGCTGGCACCCTTCTAGCGCCGAAACTCTCTACCTGCAATTTGCCACCCTCTCATCTCCCATACTCTCCATTCCCGGACGCTGCTGGTCGCTGGTGGACGCTGATGTCGCCGGTAGACGCTGGACGCTAGATCAATATCTAGTATCTAGTCCTAGTCGCTGACGCTGTCGAATGCTTGGAACGCTAGTGGTCGCTTGTGTACGCTGTCGCAAAGTATGAACGCAGCTCAACCTATGAACAAAAATATACCTTGACTGACGCGCCCGCTGTTTTCGTCAATACAGTCGGCCAAAGCGGTGAATGCTGGGATAGAAAAAGTTATAGAGAGGATGATACAACACTACTGGGACGTTTACCTTCTTTCTGATCCTTACACATGTACCGTAACCCGCTTGTGAGTGAATCAAACATCAAATCCGTGCCACAATGTCTGCGATGTAGCATACAAGTAGCTGCCGTGTCATATGATCTGCAAGGGGGTCTCTCTATCATCGATATTCGTCCAACTACTGCAGATTACTCGTACCTACACGCTTTGTGCATGTTTTCTTTGAAACTGCCCGTTCGAAAATAGACTCGAAGCACATCGAGAACCTTCGTCACACAGGCAGATTTACATGGAGGAGGCTCCGCAGCTGAAAAAGAAGGCGCTTGACTAGTTCGGTATTGAAGATCAACGCTTGAAAATGTGGAAATCGTGGGTAGGCTTGACAATCCTGCTTCCTGATCTACGGTTCTTCGCTGACGAGATAATTAACACCTACAAGTTTATATTTGCATCCCACTAGCTAACCATAGGATGTGCAATCTTGAAACGCGGATTCAACGAACCATAAGCAGGGTACAGCATCGTTGTGTGAAACACATAGGGGTGGCGTACTTTCGGCTGGGGAGGGGGGGACGTATTTGGTCGTTGTTGGGAGAAAGGGAGGGAAGGGGGGGGGTGTATGGTGGGCTTTGTATGAAATGTTTGCCGCTGTTTGCAAAAATAATTTTTCCCGGTTGTTCGGCTTGTTTGATTTTATAGGTTTTTACTGCTTCTCATGTGTACTATTCATTACCCCCCCCCGCTCGACAGCAAAATTGTTTTGGCGTTTAGAGGGAGATTTTAGGGAAATTCTTCAAGTAGTGGTAGGAAGTGTTAGGGAACCTAGGAAATTTCCCCCTTTCATATTGGCTATGATCACCCTCGACCCCTCCGTCCCGGCGCGCGGCTCGAAAGAGGAAAACCTATGAGTGAAGATCTGCGGAAATGGGGAGATTCGTAGGTAGGTGTTGGGGAAGGGGGAGGGGTCGTACCGAGACCCTCGCTCGAGAGGGGAGGTCGCACTCCCAATTCACACATCACGATGCTCTACCCTGACCATAAGCATTGGCACTGTCGAACTAACGAACCTTAAAAGGCCAGCTGATTCGACAGTGCTCGTGATGACTCACTTCAAGGAAAGTTCGTTAAACTGATGAGGTGGAATCTTGTGAAAATAATGGATCGTACCATATTCGGCTCCAGGCACCCAGAAAGTCGGTTCGGTTCCGTCGCCACTCCCCTCTAGTCCATCCAAAGGCGATTGATGTTGGTCGACTGAAATAAGAACGTTTTCTTTGGCCGTTGATCAATCTGATTTTCCCAAATCTTCAGAAATATGCGATTTGTACCCATGGACCGTTCCGTATGGACGGCTCAGCTGTATTTTGACTTCACTTCAGCGAGGCAAACAGGAGAACTAGCTATACATGTCGGAATTTCTTCTATGTCATAATGTGATTTTTAGGTTGGAACACACTGGGACCACCAAGATTGTGCCCATTTACGTAAACACCCGGTAAGGCGCCACCAAATATATTCCCAGTTAGCGGACTGGGGACACTCTAGGCCGCACGCTACTTCCCTATGACTTACTTCATTGGATTACGTGATGAAGGGTCAAGGCGGCTTCCTGTGTATAATGTCGGGCGGGGTCAGCAGCGCTATGAGTTGAGGTTGCATGACAGTACAATGTTGAACATTCCCGAGCACTGGTCAGCCAGCTAAGCCTAAGCAAGCCAACAAAGTGAGAAAGTAATGCGATTCACTGGGTTAAGGCAGTACAGCCACAAGATTAGGACACGTGATCTTCAGTCATAGCAAAGTTCAAACCTGGACTGACACGTCACAATAATTGCGCTGCCTGAAGTGGTGCTGCCGAAATAGATGGAAGGTTGTATCTCCCCCCCCCCCCCCATCCCCCTGGTGGGTTTCTTAGCAACCCAGTGATAATTACCGAGAGACTCAAAGGCAATTGGCACGTAATCTTGGTACTCCGTCCAAATGCTAGCAGGGTGCTGCACGGTGGGGAAAATAGCGAAATACGGAGTGAAACGTCAAAAAAAGCCTTCCTTTCTCAATGACTGAAAAAGCAAATCTGGACGAGTATCCCGTAGGCATCTTGCCAATAACCGTTGGTTAGGTACGGCTGCACTTTCGTGTTAACTCATACAGTGCGTAACAAAAGTATGTGGACACCTCAAATTTTGATTTTGCGAAGTTGCCTTTGGATTTTGCGATCTGAGACCATCACTGTTAGATTCCTCATAAGCGAAAGTATAGGAATGCACTACTTCTGAATACATTGTGAACTACTGTACAATTATTTATTGTTTTGAAAAAATTTCTTAATAACAAAAGTATGTGGACACCTTGAGAAGTTCAAATGTTTGGACGTCAATCTTGCCAACCATATCTATCGTCTCTGCTCCCATTAATCTGTACTCATGCCTCGTCGTGGCAGTACTCTCTCCGAAGACGAACAATCTCAGATTCGAGCTCTCAGTGCTGCTGGACACTCAAATAGAGAAATTGCAAGACAGCTCGGACGTTCGGCGACGTGCGTTGGTAAATACCTCCAGAATCCTGATGGCTACCATTCAGCACATATTTCGGGGCGTCCTCGATCTTTGTCCGCAAAAGACATCAGAAGAATAGCGCGGGTCGCCCCAAACTCCCTTTCTGTTGTGAGACAGATCCATGCTGCAATTAATCTACCGGTCTCAAAAATGACGATATGGCGCTATATTCGATCAAATGAGCATATCACACGAGAGACCATGAAGAAAGCTCCTCGCCTGACTGCCCAACACCAGCTGGCGAGACTGAACTTCGCGCGTGCAAACATGGCGACGTGTGGGCAAGGCGTTTTTTTGAGAAAATTTGTAAATCAGAAAGGCAACATCCCATGCGCTTTTCTTTCTTAGGTTATCTTCACCGATGAAAAAAAGTCCGATCTCGACGGTCCAGATGGATATCGGCACTACTGGAGAGACCTTCGTCGCCAATCACATTGCTTTTCTGTTTTTTCTTTTCTGTTTTTTCGAGGCGAAATTTCGGAGGCGGCTCTTTGATGGTGTGGGGTGGTTTTGGAACCAGCGGAAAGTTAGAGCTCGCCTTCCCATCGTGCCGTATGAACAGTCAGGAATATCAAGGAGTGCTCGAATCCAACCTCTTGCCTTTTCTGAATGGGCCACGACCAGGAACATGCTGCAGCCGGACAACGCCGGCCGTTGCATGTCTCAATTCATTACTATAAAATGAGCTCGCAACGCCAATGTATCAAAGTGCATGGAATATGGCGCAAACATGTTCTTCTGAACTAGCAAACCAAATCGAAAACCTGTGGCGGGAATTATGGTCAAACGATTTACATGAAACAATCGGCGAGTACAACAAGCCTCGTGCGAGACCTCAAGGAGGCGGTGTGGCCTGCATGGAGGAAATCGACGAAAAGACACTATTTTTCAAAAACCCAAAAAAAAATGCTGGGGTTTTTTTTTATCCCCAACAAAGCTGGCCAGAAGAATGCTTCGAAGTAATAGCAAACGGGGAGGGAGCACCAAGTTTTAATTTCCATGATACTTTTGTTTTTTTAGGTGTCCACATACTTTTGTTATTAAGAAATTTTTTCAAAACAATAAATCATTGCTCAATAGTTCACAATGTGCTCGTAGGTAGTGCATTCCTATACTTTCGCTTATGAGGAATTTAACAGTGATGGTCTCAGATCGCAATATCCAAAGGCAGTTTCGCAAAATCAAAATTTGGGGTGTCCACATACTTTTGTTACGCACTGTATAAGGGCGGCCAAAAAAAAAGTCACTTCCGGCGAGTCACATATGAGCGAAGTTTTCGCAGCCCAGACAGAGGAAGTGGATATGAGTACCAGGGCGGAAGATACCCAAGATCTTCCTCTATAAGCAGGAGCCGGCTGCCGCCATTCACCTTCATGTACACCAAAATATGAAGTCATCTCCAGTCGCGGCCTGAGTGGAGAACGCCTTTGGAATTCACGTGGCCTCCAAACAGCTGCGGAACTTCTTGAATGGAATCACCCATGGATAGCTACAGACCAGTACTCTTGATCTGCAAGACCTCAAACATCGAGCAGCTCCGGCACGTCGCTACGGTCCAGGACATCATCTTCACCCCATTCACCAAGGCGCGGCGGATTGATAGGTGTAGACCGCGTACCTGAAATGGGAAGACCCGATATTTTCTTTGTAGACCCCGACTGAAGGTGAGCGCTGGCGGTTACATCAAGTAACTCGAGAAGGATATCCTCCCTACATGTGGTCGCCCGTACCTTCTTGGCGCCTTGTGCTGCTACAGGTTTGGGTGCCACCACATGGAATCGAAGGGTTTTGGAAAAACTCCCGCCTACTTCGAATGGAAGGGCGTTTCGTACCTGATGAAGATGTAATATTGAAATATGTCCCCTGACCTGAACCCACTCAATTACCTAGTTCGGGCGGAGCTCAACAGGGTGGTCTGGGTCTTTTTTTATTCTACAGTGGCGGAGAAATCAACGATCTCGCTCAACTCCGGTACCCACTCACTTTCGCGCGGCCGAATCTCTCGATGGCGCTCCTCCAGAAGGCTGTGGCGGAGTATCTCAAGTATTTAACTTGTGACTCTTTAAAATATGGCAGTTAAATTGGTCGCGATAAAAATTCAATAAAGATGTACTTATAGCGCTTGAAATGTTCATGGAGGAAAAAATGACACTTTTTTAGGCCCCCCCTGATATAGGTCATGCAGGCACCCGCCGCGCTTCAGTATCACTGCCTTCGCTTCATATTGTTATCTCGCAAATGAGCAATACGACCACAGGTACCGCCGTCCATTTGTGGGCGGGCGGGCACGGTGGGCGTCCGGACCGGTATGCCGCAGCTTGATGGCGCCTTGTGAAGGATACCCTCCTTCGGAAAGGAGCTTCGCAGGACCTGCCTAGGGGCGCGGGAAAGTCCGTACCTGCCAGCCGTTTAGTCCGTCTCTCGTCTTAGGGACGTTATTGTGCCTTTGAAAGCGCGGGAGGATCTGGACTTCGGCTGGTCTTCGCCAAGTTGGCCGTCCTTATATAGTCCAAGAATAGGACTAAACTGAACTTAGGATCATGAGTGGAAGTGGAATACGCAGAGCATCTCAAAAGAGATTGGCCAATGGCAAAGTACTTTTTATCCTTTTAGAAAGTTAATATTGTAGGAAAGTTAAGGCGAGCTCTTAGCTCGGTCGC